CAACTTAATGATATATATTTGAATATAATTTAATTTTTATAATTCTTAAATGATTTTTAGCATAAAATAAATAAAAAATAAATATTTAATTTTTAAAATATGATTTTATTTTTCTTTGATCCCTCTAACCACAGAGAACTCAACAAGGTTGATTTTGAAATTTTCTGTATTTTTTGTTTGATTTTTATATTTGTTTTAAAAAAATAGAAATAATCTTCATGAAAAGTTTTGGTTTTGATCACTAGAGGGATTCTCTGACTTTGGAAAAATCGAAGAACTACCCTAGCAACATAAGAAACACGCCCTAGGAATTTCTAGTCATTTTAATTAATATTTATTTTTTTATAATTAAAATAAAATTTAAATTATTTATTCAAAATAAAAATAAATGTCAAATAAATATCAAATATTTTTTATCCAATAAATTTCTCTTTGTTCATTGAGCACTGAGATTTTTTTTTTTTGTGAATTTTCTGAACCAAGATATGATTTTTCTAAGTTTTATTTAATTTTTTGTAATTAAATAAACTCAAAAAAAATTGATTTTTCTATTTAATCACGGGGGCACCACTTCATCCTAGGCAGCTTTGAAACTCCACGTGTTGCACCACCATTCGCTACACCTTCCACGTCACCCGTGTTGTTATCCCGAATTCCATGATTCGGTCCTTCATTCTGCACGATCTGATCTGTTTGTTGAAAACACGTAAAATTAAAGACATTCATTCATCTTCCCCAAAGAGCCCTAACCCTAGCATCATATGTGTTCTAAGCCTAATATCTCACTAGATTCTTGAAAAAATTGAGTGAGGTTTGTTCCTACACCTTCATCTGTGTGTGGGTTAAATCTATACGGCTAGATGTGCATGGAATGTTCATTCGCTTCACGAAGGTCCAAAACCAAGAAGAAAATAGGAGTTTCAAAGTTATACATTTGCCTAAGAGGTGAGGCCTTGATTGGGTCCAAAACCATTCATGTATTCTTAGCTATCCCTAGCATGCTCTTCATTTGAATCCATAAAGTCACAACTTACATAGAATTGTAGCTTGAAAGACATAAAATTACAACTTTTATAGGTAATTAACATGAAATACATAAAACCACAATTTGTATAGGGATTCAACATCAAAGACAAAAAAACTGCCACTTGTATAGGTATTTAGTATAGAAGACATAAAGCCACAACTTGCGTAGGTATTTAGTATGGAAGACATAAAGCCACAACTTGCATGAGTATTTGGTATAGAAGACATAAAGCCACAACTTACATAGGATATACACAAACACATGGAGATTTGCATAGAATAGTTACCTTGGATGGGTAATCATAACACTATTACATGAGATATGCAAATTTGTCCTTCTATACTTAGCCTATGGAAATAAATATTTCTATACATATAAGCACCATTAATGTATTCTTAGCTATCCTTAGCATGCTCTTCATTTGAATCCATAAATTCACAACTTGCATATAATTGTAGCTTGGAAGACATAAAATTACAATTTGTATAGGTAGTAATCATGAAATACATAATTCCACTTTTTGTATAGGGATTTAGCATCAAAGACATTGTCGGCACTATTTTTGGTGTGGGGTTTGCCCGTAGCAAGCTGTCGGTCATCGGAATTGAAATCCCATTGCCCGCTTCGGAAGGACGTTTTTTTTTTAAAAAAAAATTAGTTTTGAAAAAGTTGAAGTCAAACTGACCCCATAATTTTTATAGTTTAGATGAAAAGGCACTTTATCTCAAATCATGTATCTATCCCGAAGGATGAACGCAAGAATTGAGAATGAGGCTCGATCAAATAGACTAAAGAAAGTTATGACATCTGTTTGGTCTGCGAAACCAATGTATTGGCCGACAAGTTTCCCTATTTAATATAAGGAATTAAATAGGGTTTATGTTATGCTGGGTTCGGGAAAAGCTTCCTATAAGGGCAAGCCCCTATAGTTAATTACATCTTAGATAACTAAAGTTACCTAAGAATACTCTCGATAGAAATCAAGGAAAAATTATCTTCAAGGAATTCAAATGGTAAGGACATCTCAAAGATATCGGACTAAGAAGTGTGAAGGGGGATTGGTTCAAA